AATGTAGTTGTTCTTAAATGCTGTTTCTCACTGGGCCTGCTGCTCTTTCTATTCCATTAATCTTTCACTTCAGGTAAGCAAGAGGGACAAATCTGACAAGATGAGCAAGGGTCAAGTGATATGAAACTCTCATCCACTAATATTGGCAATCAATTGCAATTATTCTTAGGATTGTTAGTCCCTCAAGCCTCTCTTCATTAATCAGCTCTCTATTCATTCGTCCCACACCTTCTAGCTCAAGTTTGCTGTGATATTGTACTGTGTTTGAAAGAGTGCCTCATAAGCAATGAAAAAAACAAGAGTATCTTTGAATATTAGTTGGCAGCTGGTTTAATTAAATATCTCTCCACCCACACTGTACTACATTGATTAATTTTTAAAGAAATGGCTAAATGAAGACATTAATTATTTGTATGTGGTGCATATGCTTTCATGCACACTATTGTATTTTAATTTACTTTTTAACAAGTAAGCCAATATGATTTTAAAATTATTTCCCATCTGTCATGCATGCTAATAAAGTAAAGAAACCTACTAATTTATGCCATATTAAATTTAGCTTCTTTTTTTGTGCTTTTTAGTTACATAGTTCTTCAGGAAATCAAACTAGAAAAAAATGGATTTAACCTTTCTGCTTTTTAGTCCACATAAATAGACATTTAGTGTGGGATATAAGTGAAATACTCACTTTTGGCTGCCTTAACAGTATGGAATAGAATATGTACACATTTTTCTCTTGGTTATTTGTCTTTTATTAATCATTCTATGTAAAACTCAAATACAATAAGGCAAACTGATCACTCTGCAAAATAATTAACTGTCATCTGAAGCATTAGATAATTCAATTATATTCTGCTTCTTTTGGGTGGGTATATTATGAGTTTTTTGGAAATTCTACAAACCACATAGAGTATGTATGGTAATTCTGCATTACCCTGCTTATTTACTCATTGGTGCCATAAAGGATCGTTTATGCATATGTAAGCACATGGAGACATTAAGGTTTCTAAATGAAAAATCCTTTTGAGTTAATTTGTTATGGATTTTGAAATTTCTTAAAAATTTAAACTGTGTGTATATGTGTGTGTGTTTTGTACTTATGGACAATTGTGCAAATTGATCATAAATGATATTAACCAGAAAATTACATATAAAACTGTAGATATTAGTGAATACACTTCTATGTATTTTTTCAACATAAGACTGAAAAACATTATACTTATGCTTCTAGACTCTCAAAAATGAAAGTTATACTGCTGCTTTTCAGATAGGTTATGGATTGTCTGGAGATCACATTCTTATTGTAATATTTAAATAAATTGTTGATTTAATTAGCCAAAAAAACAGAAATCTTAAAGGGAGTGAGACAGCTACATGGGGAGGAGTAGCTGCATTCAGTGTTTGTGAAGCTCCACTCTGTTTCTATGATTCTGTCATGAGGAACACCAGATCTAGAAAGCTCTTCCTCATCACAATCTTTTTATTCTGTGCTTCCTTCACTTTCAAAGAAGAATCTGTACTTACCATCTCTACAGTTCTCTTAAATGGAAGGAAATATTTATAAACATTGAGTTATCCTGGTTCGTGAACACCACCACCACATCCTCACCACCGGATAGAAAACAGAGAGACTTCTCTGTTATCCCTGAACAAAAGCTTAGCCCTTGTACTTCCAGAATCAAAGACAGTTCATCTCACCACATTTAATTCTGTGACCTTAATTTAATATTATTTTACCTGGGTAGTGCTGATGCTGAATTTGATCGAAGGACTACAATCAGAAATGCATTTCCTTGCACTGACCTATTGTTATTTCCTCTAAAATATATTTAGAAGTGCAGTAATCATTTAGATAATGGAAAGAAAATGGGATTGAATGTCAAAAGACATCCTCTGTCTCTGTTGCTTACTATCTGCATGACTTCAAACAATTTACTTAAATCTCCTGTGTCATTGTTAAAATGCAAGTGACAGCAGTCCACCTGAGAGGATGGCATGGGAAATATTCAAATTAATGAATGTGAAAAAGTGTTTTGTAAATATACCAGAACTATGTCTGTTCTTATGAGTATGACAAAAGTAGTTATTTGCTTTGAAATCAGCTACCAAAAAATAATATTGATTGGATAAACATACAGTCTTTGCAAGTGTACCATACACTTTATAAGTGTACCATAGACCTAGAAATCTTAGAAAATAATATATATCTAAGTTTTCCCCGTGAAAATAAACCAAAAAGTTTTCAAGTATGTCAAACATAGATTTGTATAGATGTTTGAAAATCTTTTATTCTTTTACTATTATCTCTTTGTGTATAAAAGTCTTATAATTACTTCTTTTTAAACCTAAATTTAGCATATTTCTTTTCATTCCATTAACTCAATTGAATAATAAATTGTTTTTTAAAAAGCTCTTTAAACTAATATTCTGTAATGACTTATCCAAGAAAATACCTGTTTTTTTTTCCAGAAGTCTGAACCACTATTTTGTTCTTTAGTCAAGCACATAACTAACCACATAGCTTTAAAAATGTTGCTGTATCAATCAACCATAGGTCATTCACTTCATTCATTCTTCCATTCATGGGAGTGCCGCTGGTATGTATATGGACGATGGCAATGGGTTTTCTGTGAAAACTGTGGTAGATCTCATGGCCACTTATTCAAGGAATTTATCCCCTTTAATTTTATAACGAACTTATGGGCTTGCCTTAGCCTATATTGTGGAAACCAAACATCACTAATGGGCTCAGTAAACAACTCTGGGTTTCCTTACTCATGAGAGTTTAAATGCTTCACCTGTGCTTCCTTTTAGAAAACGTGAAATTGAAATCTTTGCTTTATTTCAAAGTGGGTGGTCTGAGGTACTAAATTGCATTGCTAATGCGGAAGTACATGAGCCTAGAAAGATAAAGAGGAAGAATGAACGTTCACGTGCTACTCTTACAGTCTGACGGCATTCCACTGACCTGTCTCCTTCACGGTGGCCATGCTTCCATGGTCCGGTGGTGCTTTGCCACGATAGCGTTTTAACTGTGCAGTGGAATTCACCTGGGATTGTTCTTATCCTATGTGAGTGCTTTATTAATTAGCTTCATTCTTTCGTATTCTCAATATTAACAATAAAATTATCTAGGTATTTTTATTTTTTGACAAAAAAGTCACTTTTAATAATTCAGTTTTTAAAAGTTATATCATTCACAATAGACTAGAACAACGATTGTTTTCTTTTTGGGTCACCCAGAACTTGCCTCCAGATCTGTGATGAGACTAGTCTCTGTGAAGATACCACAACCCCAAGTCCTGAACTGGAATTCAGGAGACTTGGATTTGGGTCTTGCTCTTTCACTAACTTGTTGGAAGATGTAATCCTGTGCTTCAGTTTTATCAGATGTATCACCCAGAGCAAGTCACTTGACCTCTTTTATGCCTCAATTTCCTCATCTGTAAAAGGAGATAATAGAAATGACTATCTCTTAGCGTTGTTGTAAGGCATCAATGAGATTATGATGATAAGGGACTTAGAACTGCACTGAGCTCATACTAAGAACCTATATGTTATCTACATTAATACTAATCTGCCTTGTCATGACTCCTGTGTATTTCACCTCACAAGGCTATCCTGAGAATCAAATGACATAAGTATTGTGTTAGTTTTTATTGCTGCATAGCAAACTTATCAACTTAAAACAACATCCACTTACTATCTCACAGTTGCTATATGTCAGAAGTCCAGGGATGGCTTAGTTGGATCCTCCAATCAGAATTCAAAAGGCTGACATCAAAGTGTCAGCTGAGTTGTGCTCCTTTCTGGTGCTCAGGGTCTTCTTTCAAGCTCATAGGGCTGTTGGAAGCTCATAGGGATGTCATTTGATCAGCACTCAGGAGACCTCGTATATTGTAAAACACTCGGTGATATATAACTAAATAATGATGCAGGGAAAGATTGAAAGCAATTACATCTTTCATTAAAGTAGAATTTAACCTAGAAATTCACACAAGAACCTACCAGTACTTTGTTAATAGGAGTGCCTTCAGGGCAGGGCTGAATTCCATATCAAGACAGAGATTAGTAAAACTTTTATACATGGAAATAATATTATATAAAATAAGGAATACAGACTTAAGATTATATTTAGTGGGTGTTTTTGTTTTTGTTTTTGAAGCAGGGTCTCAAGCTGTTTCCCAGGCTGGAGTGCCATGGTGCAGTCATGGTTCACTGAAGCCTCAACTTCCTGGGCTCAAGTGATTCTCCCACCTCAGTCTCTGGAGTAACTGGGACTACAGACATGTGCCAGTATGCTCAGCCAATTTTTTTGAATTTTAGTAGAGATGAGGTCTCGTTTTGTTGCCCAGGCTCATCTCGAACTTCTGAGCTCAGGCAATTCTCTTGCCTCATCCTCCCAAAGTGCTGGGATTACAGGCATGCGCCACCATGTCTGGCCTGTATCTGTATTAAAACTTGACTCTACCACTCTTGGCAATATTATTCTGGATTAATTACTTTTTCTTCCTGAGACTTGATTTCTGACTCTTAAATCAGAGTAACACTGTTTACTTCAGGAGATGTACTGAGGAATAAGTGAAATACCCTATGCCAAGCTATTAGAACAGTATCGGGTACATAGTGAACACTTAGTAAGTGATGACTATTGTTGCTATTGCTGTCATTATTTATTTTAATAATCTTAACATGTGGCTTAATGTCTGGAACATCTTATGTGCTCAGAAAATATTACTTTTTTCACCCTTCTTCAGTATCTGTTGAGTTGAACTGGATCTGTAGAGGAGAATATTTTGGATATTATCAATCTGAACTAGGCTAAGTGGTTGCCATTTGCCTAATTTTATTTAATTTTCTACAATTTTCTTCCTTCCTTCCTTCCTGCTTGCTTGCCTGCCTGTCTCCCTTCCTTTCTTCTTTCTTTCATTGTCTTTCCTACCTTCTCTCTTCTTCTCTGTCTCTTCCTTTTATTTCTCCATCTTTTGTTTCCCAAGCAGATATTATTTTAAATTTCCGAACAACTTATGTCAGCAAGTCTGGCCAAGTTATCTTTGAAGCAAGATCAATTTGCATCCACTATGTCACAACCTGGTTCATCATTGATTTAATCGCTGCCCTGCCTTTTGATCTCCTGTATGCTTTCAACGTCACAGTGGTGAGTAAAGAGCTCCCCGCCACATGGCCTTTAAGGTTGATTTATTTTTCCCATGTTTAGGTTTTAAATGGTTGTGGCGATTTATGCTTCTAGGGTTTGTACCTTCTTCAATAAAGATGCCCTGATGCCCAGTGATATGCAGGCCAGATTCTTCAGTTGATGAAGTTATTTCCTTTTGACATTCATATTACCTGTTCTTGCTTTTATAAATACCCAGAGCCAAGAAACACAGAAATGCTGAATTTATCATAAATATTGACCCACTAAACAAATTCTTTTTTTTTAATTCCATAAGGATTTAATTGGAATTGCTTTATATTTACCAATTTATCTGAGGATTAATGGATTTCTTCCCATATTACATTTACTTATTCAAGAATATAGAAAATACTATACAGACTTGAAGGAAATCATCTGTAGGAATTTAAGCATCACTTTATATTACCTAGGCAGATACTTGTCTCAAGAATTTGCTGGAGAGTTTGAAGATTTTTTTTTCTGCTTTTATGACCCTTAACTCTCTATTTCTTTAGTATTTTGTTACTCATTGGCAAAACCGACTGAAGACTGATCAAGATAGAGAGGACTGTTGAATTTAAATGAAGGAATTCAACCACTTCTTAGAAGTCCTTGTAAAACTGTTGGATGTAGCAAAAACCTAAATGATATGACTAATGTAAAACTTGAGAGTTCTCTTGAATTTGCATGAATCTTGGTACCTTCTTTTTCTCGCTCTAAATCCCTTACCCTCATGTAGCCTCACAGGACAGAAAGCATATCACTTGTAGTAGTAGCCATTTTTATAATATGATGATTGGTATTCTTAAAAGTATTAAATGCTCCCTTTTAAAGAAACTTTTAGGGAGGCCATTTGTGAAGCAGTAATGCAATTTTCTGCTAGAGTAACCAATTATGGCATGTAAAAATTTATTAAACATTAGTTCAAATTAAGCAGATATTCTATTCAATTGACAGTGCTTCATAGAAATCATATTCTCTTTCAAAAATTTAAAGGCATAGTTTTAAATATTACAGACAATAATCACAGTTTCAAGTACATTTATTATTAACTTCAGAATGAATATAGAATTGTGAGCCCGACTTGTTAGTGCAGACTTGTGCATTTGTTAATTGCCTGTACAATAGTTTCTTTTTATTCTTTTTCTTTTTAAGTTGGGAAGTTGATAGTGCCAACATCTTTAAAACGTTTATGACTCAACTGAAAGGAAAGCTCCCAGGAAAAATCTAGTATATATCAATCACTGCTACACTGAATTGTTATCCAGGCTTTCTACAGTGCTTTTTAAGATTGAATTTGACTAGATAAATGTACCATCATGAAACAGTAATGGCTTAAAACCACGTTTTTGCAAGACTGCAGAATAAGCATGTAATTCACAAAAGGTTAAAAAAATTTCCAAATTCCCCTGGCAAATTGTTTTAAATTGTTCATTAATTATTTAATACAATCCCATTTTAAATTAATTTGCTCTTTTGCTACTAAAAATGAATACATTTTTTATGTCCCATTTTTATTTGAGTACTGAGCAAATAAGGTATTTTAATATGCATATATAATATATGTTATAGGTATATATAACATACACTTTCATATCATTAGCATTCTCATTCTCCAAAATTAATATGGATGAAGAAATGTCTTAAAAGTCTAATTCGCATGTTTGACGAATTTTAAATATTTATATACTTTCACTACACTTCTGCTCTCTTTTCATCAATCTTATGTAATCTAACACAAATGCTTTATAAATAATACAAGGTATAGAGCAACATCTATGTCAAAAAAAAAAAAAAAAGAAAAAGGGGAAGGAAGAAATCTGTTTTCACTGATACTTGTTCTGCTTTTCACAGGAGTGAACATGAGCATTGAAAAAGCTGGCACCTAAATTCATTATCCCTCTTAAACAAGTTAGTCAGGACAAAATATTCTGTAATATTTGAACAGAAAAGCTTGTTCAAGGTATTATGTTTTCTTCTCAGGCAAATGTAAGTTATGAGGAATAACTTATGGGTTATGCTCTTTTACAACAAAGACTTAAAAAAAGAAACAAATAAATAACAAAATGTGTTTGTCTCCCAAATCTGAAATGTGTCCAGTTAATGCATCTCCATAGGTGACATTCAGAACTGCATAAGCTTTGGCTTTGGCTCTGCTCACAATTGCTCATGGCAGTTCTTTTAAGTAGAGATCACATGCTTTTTGAAAACTGTTTGTATATCACTGTAGAAGGCACTTATAAGAGATAAAATTATGAATAAGACATAGGAAGGTTGATAGAGTAGAAAGGGCAGAAGTATGAATCCAAGTTCTATCACTTACCATCTGAGTAACTTTCTTGGGGAAGTTAACACTAAAATGTCCGTAAAATGGGCATAATATAATTCCTACAGAGTTTTTGACCAGACTAAAAATGCCACATATCTATACAATGCTTTTCTAAATGTCTAAAACCTAGGAAGACCTCACAACATGTTAGTTAGCCTCCTCTCTCTCTCTTTCTCCCTTCTGGGCGATAGCTAGGAGGTGGTCATATCCATTTGGTAAAAGGGGAAACTCACATTTGATAGGGGGGTTCAATGAATGCACCTGTCTATGAGTAGCTTACAGTTCTCATCAGTGACAAATTTGAAACAGCATCTAAAGAGTCAAAAGAATCCTCTCCCTTTTTCAGATACATATGTCCATCTAAGTCAAATATGCTTCTTTCTCCTATCATTCTTCAAGAGGCAACATTAAAACTTTAGCAAAAAGCTATTGACTTTGATGGGAGCAAGCATAATTTTTTAATGCCAGTTTTTATTGACTTAAGAATGAACATAGAACTATCTGGGTCATCTGGACACCAAGGTTCATGTTCCTAGTATTTGCAAATGGCTATTGTCCTCATGTACAAGCAACTCCACATTCTTTGCTCAAACATCCCCCGTCTGGTCAGAGAAAATGGGGAGACTGTATCAAAATTATGTGTGCAGATGCCTGCCTCCATTTGGGACTTCCGTTCCAGTTTCATTTCACTTCCAAATTGTCACCTAACCATCAAATTCATCTACCTGTAAAATAAACTCCATCCCCAGTAATATATTTAAATAACAGAATAGAGATTACAAATCTTGGCCTCCAACCATCTAGCTAACCACCAGCTTGAGAAATGATAGATGAGAACTTAGCTATAAAGGAGAAGAAAGTAAAACTTGACACAGGAGAATGACAAAAAGAAATAAAAGAGCAAAGCTAGCTGTTAAGTTCTTCAAGTGCCCTTAAGAGTTTACTGTATTTCAGTATAGAATAATTCACAAGATTACAACTGAATATAATTTTGTTGAGTATCAATTTCTATGCTGAGCTTGGCGTGTTTGCATCTTAACTTGATAATTTATTCATTCACTCATTTAATAAATATTTATTAAGCATTTTCTATGTGTCAGGCACTGTTCTATGTTTGTTTTTCTTAGAGATAAGAGAATATGGCTAGCAGAGGACAGAATTAGAAGTCAACTGACTTTAGATAAATACAAAAGCAAACTCCCAATGCTGACCTTGTGTCTGATTAAGTTTTGTAAAGGAAAGAGTGCAGTTAGTTAAAGCCATAAAAAGTCACTCCTTCTCTACTTATGCTTTCCCCAAAGAAATTAGTTGACATCAAGAAATCTGTCAAACTGCATTTCCATATGATTTAATGTTTTATTTGTTGTTTCCATTTTAGAATGTTCTTTGAAGGTATGAAAAGAATGTGTGTTATGTACACCCCTTATTAATGGTGATATTGACCATTCTGGTCCACACCAATGATGCACATTTTTCAGTTGGACCCTGAAGTCAATAAAATAATCCCTCAGATACAATTCTACTGCCATAGTGGATGCAAAGGCACTAGGAGACTCTTCAGAAATTCTTGTCCCTTTCATTTTAATTCCCTAAGCATGTTTAAGAGAACACTGAGAGAGAGAGAGAGAGAGAGAGAGAGAGAGAGAGAGAGAGCGCTTCAGGCAAATGTTTTCTCTCTCCGTTGATGATGTTGGAAGTATAGTACATGAGGCAGAAGATGCTACTGGTATTTGTGAGCAGAACTTACTCAAGTTTTCTGGGTCTACCTATTTTAAAAAATAAACTCGGTAAGGTATTTTTATTATCACTTTCTATGCATTTACTTCAATTTGTCTGAATTATTATTATAAAGCAATTTCCTTACACAGAGAAGGGAATGCGGGGTTGAAAAAATATATGTATTGGGGATTCGAGATATGTACAATTCTGATACCATAATGTGTTTCAGTTGTATATCAGAATGCAAACTACAGTATGAAATCAGACAGGGAGTGAAAAAAAGATAACCCCTAATTAAGAAAGGTATTTACTCAAAGAAATTAAATTATCCTTCCTATCCTGTCCTTTATTCCAGCCTCTTTAATTCTATCACTTTCTGATACAATATATCAAGAACAAAGAGAATTCATAAAAATAATAATATTAAAATAATTCTACTTCATTTCCAGAATTTTTAGAATGGCTCCAAGTTAATGTTGTGGTATGAATTTAATACATGCACCAAGTTGTGCTGCTCTGTCTCCTACCACAGGTGTCTCTTGTGCATCTTCTAAAGACGGTGCGACTCTTGCGTCTTTTGCGTCTGCTGCAGAAGTTAGACCGCTATTCCCAACACAGTACTATCGTCCTGACTCTGCTCATGTCCATGTTTGCACTCCTTGCACACTGGATGGCGTGTATCTGGTATGTCATTGGAAAAATGGAGAGGGAAGACAACAGCCTTCTGAAGTGGGAAGTTGGTAAGGGCTTACATTTGTCAAATTTTCCATTTTTAAATTTAAAAAAAGAGTATCAAGAACTTGGAGGAAGTGAAAGACAAGTCTATAAATATATTTCTTCTTACTGTCAGTTTGTCTAATTAATTTCTGTTTTTGAATCCATGATATAAGCAATTTATTTCTATAAGGTTTTCTGGAACAACCTTACATTTTTTTTGAAAATTAATGGGTTAAACTAATAAATTTTATATATAATCAAAATAACTAGTTTGGCTGTAGAAGTGTTTAGATAAATAATGTTCAATCTTGTCTTGAAATAGTCCTATGCAGGGCTAGTAATAGTAAATCACTGGGAAACTGACCTATGGCCTATCTCTACAATATCTTAACTAATAAGAAAATGATCACTTATATTTGAGGTGGTATATTAATAGAAAAGATATTCTACCATCCTTCCCTTTAAAAAGAGAGAGTGAGAGTGAAAGTAAACATAATAACACACTCTCCACATTTAGCACACTTTGAGAATTTGTGATGGTAGAAAGGACTGGATATTTACAAGCATAATTTATAGTTGTGAGTCCCCATAATACATGGGGATTTAAGGGAGATTTTTCGAGTGTTACATAATCTGCATAAATGAATTTGAAACATTATGCACATGAACACATTTTTAAACTTATGTCAACCACAGTAAATTTATAGAAAATGAAAATTCTCAAAATTATAACTCTCTATCCCAAAATATCTGCATTTTTCTCACAGTCATACCCCTTAGAGAATTGTCACAGTACCTTATGTAGAATTTTTTTTTATTAATCTGACATTTAATCAAAAGAATCTGCTTCTTAGTTGGCTAGAAAATCCTTCACTTATCTTCTCCACCAAAAATCGATCTTGAACTTTTGGAAGAAGTTCAGACCTTTGCATAAGAGACTCCCAAGAGAGAAAAATGCCCAAACTTTTCATACCAGCACTAAATGGCTGGACATATTTGGAACATCCCTGTGTTGGCCCTCATAAATGGCAGTCTCTCAGCAAAGGACATATACAGAGCCTTCAAAGGCAGCACTGGAGGAAGAGCTGGAGACCTTAGGAAAGCAGGTGGAAGGGAATAATCTCCTGTCCAGGTTATTAAAAATACCTCTTCACATCCCAATTTTATTTCTGAGCTACACAAAACAACTGATGTGTTCTTATAATTTTTATCTTAGATTGATTTTCTTATCTTCTTTATCAAAGCACTTTTAAATGTCTAGTTGTGGGTCCTCAATTCTAGGAAACAAAGAAAATGGGGAAATAAAACTGCCGAGTGAAAGCAAAAATATCTTCGGTAAAAATAAGATCCAATAAGAAAGAGAAGGAGAAAGAGAGAGAGAGAAGAGTTGGTTAAAAGGAGGATCAGGGTCTGAATTGTATGTGGATTAAAACATTTTCCATCTTTCAATATTGTTTTCTTCTCTATAACTTTGTCTTGAAGGCTTCCTCATCACATCATATGTCATCATCTTAATGGTGTTCAGTAAATTACAGCATTAGATCTCTGCCCTTTGTTTTGAATTCATATTAAAATTCTGACTTGTGGTCAGCACCTGATTCCTTTTTAGACCTGACCTAATTTTCCTCAGGCCCCAGACCTATACACTCATATTAATTTGTAAGTCTCGTCTAGTCTGAGAGTCTGCAGATGGGGAAATTTAGCTTATTCACACTCTCAAATTTAGTTATATGAAGAAAGGCTTTTATTTCATTTCCAACGTGCCAGGCTTGCTGCAGACTTACACTCTAGCTGTTGTTTTTCTTCCCACAACATATAGAGGTATTTGTTTATCAATTAAAAAAAAAAAAAACCTGAATTGCTTCTGTATTTACCCCATTACTTGTATTCTTGGTCCTCGTATTATGGTTCAATGTAATGAGTAGGAGGTTGTAAGCCAGAACACAATCTCACAGACAGAGCATTGTCATGAAGTAGTGGCAAGAAGAGCATTGGACTGGGGGCAACAGACCTCTCCTGTCATCATGGTTCCATTGCTAATCAGCTGTCAGATTTGCAATATTTTTTTTTCACTTGTCTGGGCCTCAGTTTCCTCATCTACAATGTGAAAAAGCTCACCATATAATTTGAAAGTCTATTTCTGGTTTCATGAGTAATGATTATCACGGATAAACAAACCCCAAAATGTGTGCTTCATATATGTGTGTGTGTGTGTGTGTGTGTATATATATATATATATATATATATATATATATATATATATGTTTTCTTATTATGGGTCAGTGTCCACATAAACCACCAGAGGATATATTAGAAAGTACATCCTATGATCATGGCATGTCAAATAATTGATAATCTTACTCATTTATGATAAAAATGACGGAAAATGTATCTTTAGAGAACTAGATTTCCTGTCCAAACACCTATTGGGATATGACTAGCACGATAGTATGCTAATTAAGTGTGTAAATATTGGGTTTATAGACTTGTCTACAAAGACTTTCCCTTCTGCTAGAATTATTTGCATCATTTAAATGTTCATTTAAAACATTCCCCGGTTGAGATTTAAACACAAATTAAATAATTATGACCTGCCCTGTCTAACTGTATAATGAAGTAGCTGAGAGTCTAGGCTACTTCAGTTTTTACCGTGTAATTTTTGCACTAATAGTAAATTTTACGTTTTGGGGTCCAATTATCATTAATCCAAAAATTTATCATACCAATAACATTTGATGAGAGAACATGTTGTTCCTTATGTTTGTGTTTAACATTAGATGTATAAAAATAGATTCATTTTCCCAAAGGATAAAATTTCTTTCGAATTACTGTTAATTTCCATAAAATGAAATTTTTAAGTGCCCATTACATACTTGGTTCTGTGTTAGACACTGAGGATACCAAAACAAATAATAGAGCTTAAAATCTAGTGGGAAAAGTAGACAAAGATTTAATGGGTATATTACAGTGTGATATATTTTATAAAGGGAATATGTATAGAAGGGTGTCACTACATCTAACTAGAATGTCATCAAAGGCTTTTCAGAGATGACCTGAGTTTTAAAGGGTGAATAGGTCTTGTCTGTATAGATGTTGAGGAAAGGGCATTTGTGGCAGCAGGGTTATTAATATATTAAGCAATTCACTCTCACAGAAGGTGAATGGAGGTACGGTAGAAAGGGAATGAGGCTAAAGAGGTAGGTAGGTAGAGACCAGATATTTAAAGACTATGCTAAGCTTTAGAGTGTGGACTTCATCATAAGATACAGCGAGAGATAAAGCTCTCTTTTGAGCAGAGATCCTTTGAACATAGCGCACCGCCAAAGAGTGGGAGATGTTTCACTCTGCTTCATTTTCAGTGACTGTAAACAGACAATAATAATAGTGCCAACCTCAGTGGGGTTACCAGTATTAAATTAAGCAAGATGTATAAAGCATTTAGATTGGTACCTAGTAACCTCAGTAAGTAACAGCTAGTATAGTTCTCATTATCATTGTATTATGACAATTACTTCTAATGAAAAAAGGTACCATGAACTATGACTAGTGAATACTTATCATTTTATGTATGAAAGTTATTAAGAAATAGCTTAAAAGTATTGCCTTCATGGTTTAGTTTGGTGCTGGACAAAAAATTATATGGTTTTGCATATCTTTAAAGTAATTTATCTGTACCTCCTTTCAATTGGAAAGTCAGCCTCTGAAAAATTTTTACATAGGCTCACAATTGCACATACGTAGGAGATTTTTTCTTTCAGGTTCATTTAGGAGGCAAATCCTGTATCAACCTTATAAGCTTGTTAGGATATATCAATTTTTTATGGAATTTAGATATAGTGCTTCAAGGGTAAGATTAAACACTGTATTAAAGACACGTGTCACAACTGAATCAGAGAGTGCTTTTTACAGTTTAATTTTTGGGAGGCTGCAAAAAAAAGTTTCAGAAGGATCTTTTTGCAGGGAGTGGAGGATGCTTTATTTGTTTACTATAAGAGGATATCAATAAATACCCAGCTAAAAATGTACAAGTAGACCTTGCATGTTTTCTTATGTATCAATATATGTATATATTATTTCAGCTCCTATCACTTTTAAAGTTCAATCAACGATATTGAATTAGTCTCTGAAGAACTCCGTTAGCATCCTAATATGAGTTCTGATTTGCAGCTCAAAAGGTTCAGGTCTGAATCCTGCTTCAGGAATGTGAGTTTGAATCAGGCATGTGATTTTGACCAAAATGACCTCAATGTGTGGTTTTTCATTAAACAGTCTCAGATTTGTCATCTGTGACTGTGGCAATACTGACTCTCATGAGTACTCACTTCACATAGTATCTGGTACATAGTGTGTGCTTGTAGTTGGTAACTGCCACCATTATCACTTATATCAATGAGCAATGTAGAACTGAAATAGCAATACTCTTAAAGTCTAGTAAAGAGGTGATATTTTTGTATCAGTCATGATTCTTGATTGCAAGTAAAAACAAAAAAGGAATTCATTCGCAGGACATGTAGACTCAGCATTAGAAGGATACAAAACAAGACGAGGAAGAGAACATGAGCTAAGGGAGCCCCACACTGCCAATGCAAGAAGTTCCATTGTGACATTTCACAAGGATGGCCTGAACATGTTTCTGTCTGTAGATCCTGTGCAGGAATCCTAACCTCCTCTGCATGTCTGATTCACAGTGCCTGAGGGAAGAATTCAATTGGCCAAGCTTAAATCACATGCTCAGACACAGACTGCCAGGACAGGGAGACTCTTTCCATCTTACCCTTCCATGATGGAAAGTGGAGGCCTGTGTCTCTCCATTACTATATACAAGGAAGAACACACCCATACCCCTGCCAGATAGGATGTTAGCCAGCAAAAAAAATTTAAAAAACATCATAATGTCAGACAGAATTAGCTGAAATATGGGGAAGTGGTATTTTTGTTGCATCTTGCTCACTGTAACAAATCTGTGTTCCTTATGTGAGTCTAACAGTGGAATCCTAATTACCAATCTGTGTTTCCTCATCTA